CTCTAAACCATCAAATTAGAGCCTACCCACAAATAGTGTCGAGAAATGTAGTTTCAATAATGGAAATCTTTGTGATAGTCTTAAAATATATTTTATATTTATTTGTAAACTTTAAAGCTTAAAAAATAGTGTAGATCGACAGATCTATGAAAACTTAAAAATCTTGAAAATTGACGGTCTAAAAATACGTTAGGAAATACACTATTCTAAAACTTGAAATCTATTTTTTTCTCATGTCTATGCATCTTGATGTCGAGATGATCAATTTAAAGATATTTGGGCATCAAAAGAATCTCTTCTAGTAAATTTTTTGAGGTAGGCTCAAATTTGATTGTTTAGAGCCTCGGCTCTATATCTATATGGGGAAAGTTTATATAGAGCCGAGGCTCTAAACAATCAAATTGTAGCCTGCCACAAAAGTTTCATTAGAAGAGGTTGTTTTGATGACTAAATATATGTGTGTGTGTGTGTGAAAGATACTACAAAACGCCAATAGGTGAAAATAAACAGTGATTTCGCCTACCCCCATCACTGTCTAAAGTTCATCACGCTATCACGATTGTCCGGTAGTATTTTATTTTTCATTTTTTTTTACAAATCAGAATGACCTGAAATTTGGAACGTGTATTCATAAAAAATAAAAAAATCTTTGAAAAATATATAAAAAATATTTTACATGAAAAACATTGACCAAAATACCCCCAAAATTTTGTGGCGGTATTTTGGTCAATTAGTTTTTTACAGATAATTTTTTTTATATTTTTATTAGATGTGCCTTTGTAATATGTACATGCCTCCAAATTCCAGGTCATTCCGATTTGTAGAAAAAAAAATTAAAAATAAAACACTACCAGACAATAGTGATTGCGAGATGAAATTTGGACAGTGATGAGGATAAGAAAAATCACTGTTCATTTTCGCCTATAGGTATTGGAAAGATTTTTTCATATATATATATATATATATATTGAGCAATTGTTTCATGCTGGCTAGACTGCATTTGTACAATATGCGGTCTAGTGGTATAAAGTATCAATCTTAAAGATGGATGCAAATAGGTGGTCCATCTAAAAACAATTATAGCTAACGGTCCAAATGTTTTTTTAATATAATTATTATTTCTAGTTTTCAAATTTTATTTATTATTTCAAATTATGAGCTCCATGTTAAAGATTATATATTTTCTAAAAATTAGGATCATACAATACTTAAAAAATGTATTCATTGCCAAGCCCGCATTTGTACATGTGCGGGCTTGGCCGCATACTCGCTGCATCCATATATT